ATCCTCCCCGGCCAGGATACGAACCCATGACATAGCGCTCGCGGAACGCCAGACGAGTGTCTTACCACTACACCACGGAGACTGCAAAAGTAGTATGTGTAAGTATATAGTGAAAGTATATAGTGAAAGTATTGGAAAAACTAATCAAAACTAAATGGGTAGAACACCTGGAGAGAAATGATATAATATCAGACAGACAGTATGGTTTTCGATCTGGAAGATCCTGTGTATCGAATTTACTCAGTTTCTATGATCGAGCCACAGAGATATTACAGGAAAGAGATGGTTGGGTTGACTGCATCTATCTGGACCTAAAAAAGGCTTTCGACAGAGTTCCACATAAGAGGTTGTTCTGGAAACTGGAAAATATTGGAGGGGTGACAGGTAAGCTTCTAACATGGATGATAAATTTTCTGACTGATAGAAAAATGAGGGCAGTAATCAGAGGCAATGTATCGGAATGGAGAAATGTCACAAGTGGAGAACCACAGGGTTCAGTTCTTGCACCAGTGATGTTTATTGTCTACAGAAATGATCTACCAGTTGGTATACAGAATTATATGAACATGTTTGCTGATGATGCTAAGATAATAGGAAGGATAAAAAATTTAGATGACTGTCATGCCCTTCAAGAAGACCTGGACAAAATAAGTATATGGAGCACCACTTGGCAAATGGAATTTAATGTAAGTAAATGTCATGTTATGGAATGTGGAATAGGAGAACATAGACCCCACACAACCTATATATTATGTGAGAAATCTTTAAAGAATTCTGATAAAGAAAGAGATCTAGGAGTGGTTTTAGATAGAAAACTATCACCTGAGGACCACATAAAGAATATTGTGCAAGGAGCCTATGCTATGCTTTCTAACTTCAGAATTGCATTTAAATACATGGATGGCGATATACTAAAGAAATTGTTCATGACTTTTGTTAGCCCAAAGCTAGAATATGCAGCTGTTGTGTGGTGCCCATATCTTAAGAAGCACATCAACAAACTGGAAAAGGTGCAAAGACATGCTACTAAGTGGCTCCCAGAACTGAAGGGCAAGAGCTACGAGGAGAGGTTAGAAGCATTAAATATGCCAAAACTAGAAGACAGAGGAAAAAGAGGTGATATGATCACTACGTACAAAATAGTAACAGGAATTGATAAAATCGACAGGGAAGACTTCCTGAGACCTGGAACTTCAAGAACAAGAGGTCATAGATTTAAACTAGCTAAACACAGATGCCGAAGAAATATAAGAAAATTCACCTTCGCAGATAGTGGTAGACGGTTGGAACAAGTTAAGTGAGAAGGTGGTGGAGGCCAAGACCGTCAGTAGTTTCAAAGCGTTATATGACAAAGAGTGCTGGGAAGACAGGACACCACGAGCGTAGCTCTCATCCTGTAACTACACTTAGGTAATTACACACTCTCTCACTCACTCTCTCTCACACTCACACTCTCACACACTCACACTCTCACACACTCACACTCTCACACACACTCTCACACACTCTCTCACACACTCTCACACACTCTCACACACTCTCACACACTCTCACACACTCTCACACACTCTCACACACTCTCACACACTCTCACACACTCTCACACACTCTCACACACTCTCACACACTCTCACACACTCTCACACACTCTCACACACTCTCTCACACTCTCTCACACACACTCACACACTCTCTCACACACACTCACACTCACTCACACTCACTCACTCTCACACTCTCACTCTCACTCTCACTCTCTCACTCTCACACACTCTCACACTCACACTCTCACTCTCACACTCTCACACTCACTCTCACACTCACTCTCACACTCACTCTCACACTCACTCTCACACTCTCACTCTCACACTCTCACTCTCACACTCTCACTCTCACACTCACACTCACTCTCACACTCACTCTCACACTCACTCTCACACTCACTCTCACACTCACTCTCACACTCACACTCTCACTCTCACACTCTCACACTCACTCTCACACTCACTCTCACACTCACTCTCACACTCACTCACACTCTCACTCTCACTCACACTCTCACTCACACTCTCACTCACTCACTCTCACTACATGGTAAATTTCTTAACATGGGTTATTGTAAACCAGCACATAGGTAAATATCTTAATTAAATCAGTGAATATCCCAATATTTGTAAACAAAGTATGATCTATTCTCAAATGAGACGTGCAATAAAACCTTGTTTCCTTGAAAGCTCCTTCACCACGATATTAGCTGAAATAAGCAGATACCCATTAATGAGTATTCAATAGTCTTCGGCAAGTCTTTCAGTCAATCAAGTACAGGAATTGAACTCATGAACACCAACCATGAGTTTTAGCATCAATACCTACAAATTACAATATAAGCTTCTAATGGGCCACAGTTACAGGAAGTAAAAATAAGAACAACAATTGTATTACAGTCATGTTATTCCAGTGTGTGTAGAACGTAGAACATTCACGTTATCCCAGTGTGTGTGTGTAGTTTAGAACAGTCACGTTATTCAATGCATTGGCTTCGATAGGTTAAGTGGGTTGCTTGGGTTCATACATTTCTGGTGAGACAAAACAGTATATTTTACGCAATGGCAAATCTAGAAATGGACTGGTTTGACAGCAGACAGAGATGTGGACTTGCTGTGTTGTAACAATACAAGCACCTATAAGGCGTAATGGCTCATAATAATTACGCAAATGAGACATTTGCAGCTATAATTAAACGAGGAAAACTGTGCTGAATTTCGATGCCGTGGCAGCATATATCTGATAAGACATCACTTGAAATGAGCCAGTCGTTGAGCGTTGTGATATGGGCAAGTAAGGTATTTTCTGTAAGGGTGACCCCCCATGAAGATTTATGCTAAGACATAAATTGCTGAATTCATTTATCAATGTCAGGCACATCTGAGAAATGTGCACATTTCTCAGAAATATACAGAGCATATATGTCTCCTGTTATCTAGGATAATCTCTACTCTATTCCCTGGCTATACCTAGTGATTGGACCCAGCAATCAGCTTTATCTTTGATAAGAGGCAATAACACCCACAACTTCCTCCCATCGTCAACACACACGCCTTTTGTCCCTTTGAAGTGTTTATTGCACGTACGCTCACTTTTACTATGCACCCCATACCCATCACATGGGCGGTGGTGGAAAGGCTCACATGCACATATTGTATGTGTGTAGAGAAACTTGCAACTTGGCCTAGTTGGCCAGGTTACCTAATGGGCCTAATTTTTCTAAAATAATGTGCATATATATATTTTTTTTCCTTGTGGAATGATTCAGCTTTCCATAACATATGATTTTTTATTTAAACTAATATAGAATTTTATCTAACCTAACGTAACTGTCAGTAATTCATGTTCTTAATATAATAACATTAATTTGAAGTAACTACTGTATATCTTAGCAGATACTATATGGAAAAAGACATACATAGTTCTGATCTATAAAAATGGTAGCAGAGAAGACCCTCTAAATTATAGACTGTATGTATCATTGAGAAATGTTGTAATCAAAACGCTAGAAAAACAATTCAAATTAAATGAGTAGAATTACCTGGTAAGAAATGACATGACATGGTATGACTTTTAAACAGGAAAATCCTGTGTAACAAATTTACTTACTGTAGTTTGAATTATTTACAATATTCGCATATATTTAAGATTTTATTTACAATATTCAAAGAGATCTTGCAGGAAACAGATGGTTGGGTTGATTGGATTTGTCTGGACCTAAGACAGGCTTTTGACAGTTCTACTCAAGTGGTTGTTTTGGAAGCTGGAACATGCTGGAGGGGGTTACAGGATGACAAATTTTCTGACAATAATAAAGGAGGTGTTAAATGTACCATATTTAGAAAGAAGATACAGTACTGTATTAGAGAAATAAGAAAAAGTATTAGTAATTTTAGGCACTGTACTCGTTACTTATGAATCCTCCTCTGTTTATATATACAGTACAGTAGTTTTTATAATAATAATAATATTTATTTAGGAAAAGTACATACATAGTTGCAGAGTTACAGTACAAACATTGTTTGATTTAAAGATAGAGGTAGTACATACAATACCTAAAGCCACCAGTATGCATAGTTTCGGGCAACGCTATGCATACTTTTATGCATACTTAGGGCGTTTTTATGTATGTACTCTTACCTAAATAGACATTATCATAAGAATCAACAAAATTGACAATTCTTGAAAACTGCAGATTTACCCTGTGTAGTGGTAAGACGGGATACCACAAGAACCAATGAAACGGTTCATGAGTGTGTATCCAACACTCTCATCCTGTAACTGTACTTAGGTAATTGCACATGCTTGCATGTTCAGAGACCAACACAGGCTCTAGCAAATACTCGACCCTGCAAGTAGAACTGGGCAAGTACACACATACAAAACCCCATTTCCTGATGAGACAAAAGGTGTATGTGTTTAAGGTGTTGCATTTGGTATTAGGAGAGTTCATTTTGAGCAAGTTGGCAGCAGTCTTCATTCTTTTGGTGTTGGTAGATGTAATGTTTCTGCCAAATGACAGAAAATGTGATGCCTACCAACATTGAACAGAAGATGCAGGTCATTGTTAGCTTCAAGAGTAAGAAATTTGCCAATTTGCTCATAGAGAACTTATGATATTGCATTTAGTATCAATATAAGAGACTAATGCTGTTTATTCCTTTACATGTCCACTTGTGGACTGTCAGCCATAGTGCTCTAAGTATATAGGCAGGACAACATCCATTTCAAGGCATCTTACAATACACAAACAGTCTCCATTAAAGATCACACAATTTCTGCACATACCCACACCATCTCTAAACATCCTGACCATCAACACCTGATCAACAACGGCTAGATATATCTGACCTTTGATTTCACAGTGACTTGTGACATACTAGTTATTTATCTAATATTTGATTTGATTTTGTGTTAATGTAATCAAGACACTAGTGACACTTGCTCCTTTTCAGGCATTCCACTTACGAGACATCAGATGTGAACGACCAAGGTTTCTCAGCAAGTCCTTCTGTGGTTTTCTGACCTTCAATATTGTGACATATTCCCTCCTGGTGGCAGAAATTCTTCTTACCAGGGAAGCGCAAACCCAGGAAGAGAGGGTTAGTCTCCATTTTGTGTTATCATATATTAGGGGCTGGATAAATTTCATTTCCCCCATTCTGTTAAATATTTTCTTCAACCAGTTAAATTTTCTAATACGGTACATACAATAATTATATTCCTTGGGTATTAAAAAGGTATATACCAAAGAATTACTGGAAATTGCTAAGTTGTTGAAAATAATGATGCCAGTCAATATTGTGCATTTCATACTATTCTGGTATGTTTATCTTGATTTGTAGTTAATGTGGGAGTATTATTCAAATATGTTTAGATTTTCTAAAGGTACAAATGAAGTAGGTATGGTTACACCATCATATTTTTATAATGTTTATAATGATAAATTAGTGACAGCATTACCTTACAACAGATAAATGAAGAAAAGGACCATGGAGTCAGAATCAGTCATTCACGAAAAGTTGCACAACAAGTGGGAGCAGCAGTAAAAAAGCGAACCAAACCCTGGGAATAATCAAGCATACCTTTACCTTCAAGGAAAAGAAAGTAGTCGTTCAATTGTATTAGTTTGGTGGGTGCCCCCACCTGGATTATTGTATCCAGGCATGGAGATCTCTTCTTCAGATGAGACATACTATAGCTGCTCTGGAGAAGGTGCAACACCGGACAACAAAAATCATACCAGAGCTTTGTCATCTCACTTATCAGGAACAGTTGAGGGCCACAGGGCTAACAACACTGCAAACCAGGCACGACAGGGCGGATCTCATCGAAACCTTTAAAATACTGAGCAATTTGAAGGATGTCGATCCGGATAATTTTTTCAAAAGGTCAGATGTAACACGAACAAGGAGCAACGGGTTCAAACTCAACAAACCACAATGTAGGATAGAAAACAAGAGATGCTTTATCACTCATAGGGTTGTAAACCCGTGAAACTGCATACCCGCCGAAGCCGTAAACGCCAAAACTCTGCTGGGTTTTAAAATACAACTAGAAAATATCGGGGCAAATGGAAGGGGGGGGGGGAGGGGCCTTTGACAAGCTGCGAGCTTCCCGTCCTCATTGAGGCCACTAGTTTTGGTGGCCCCTCGGGTAATATTCAGGTAAAATGCAATTTTATGTAGAAAAATATATGGCAGTTATCTAGAAACTACTTACATTAACAGTTCTGCTTTGCAACAGATGATAAAAATGTCACAAAGATGTGGAGTGTGAAAGTTG